CTCTGCCATTTTCCATAAAAGAAAACACAGCTGAGTAACTTGCAAAATGCTCAGAAGCCAGTTCACGGCAGAGCTGAGGTTTTTAGCAGAGTCTGCTTGTTGCTGGTGTGTGTCATCAGGACATGTCTGCGCATGTGGGTCACAAATCTCCCGTCACAAGGACTTTATGAGACAGGTCAGCCACGTGGAAGGGAGCTCACTTCAAGGCAATGATTCCAATTTTGCACTTTTCCATCAGACAAATGCTGGAGAGAACTTCAGAACAGCAGACCAAACACTATGTAGATAAATAGTCGGTTATGTAAGGGTTGTTGTTCTATAGTGCCGCAGGTAAAAGAACTCACCATCTGAGTTCAGACCGCCTGGACAAGCTGTATCACCTCAGGTAAGTTATGTGACCTATCTGTGCTGCCACGTCTTCATGTACAAAATGGGAGAAATTGACTCTTGACTCCCAGACATATTTCTCTCCGCGACCACTGGAATGTGGGCTCATGAGTGTACAAATTTTGCTCAGCTCGCAGCTGCAGCCCCAGCACATAGAGCAGTGCCTGGCACTCAACAAATGCTTGAGTGAAGTTAAATGACAGTCAATGCCTTAAGATCAGGGGTTTTTCCCTTTGCCATTTTGGTTACTGCTATATCACCAATGCTTAGAACAGTGCCTGATACAAAGTGGGCACACAGTAAATGTTTATTAAATGGATAAGTAAACAAGCCTACAGAATTCACATCAGTCTCCCTAGACTGCGTCTTGCCTTTGGATCCATGGCCTCCTCTGCCTTCTCCACAAGATCATGAGGAGGAAACTCTTCTGAGCCTACTTGGAGCTGCTGCCTCCACCTGAAGGAAATAGTTTTGCCCACTCTTCTTTAGGACTGGAACACGTGTTCCAATCCCAACTTCCTATTTCCTTGTTAATGAGAATATGGAAGATAATTAATAGGAAGAAGCCAACAAAGTAAGAGACCAGTGACACAAAAGTTATGACAGCAAATCAGACAAAGATTTTTAAAAACTGCAAAAGAATAAAAAAAGAAAATGGGTTCATTTAGTGGTCAATGGTTTTGCAGTGGTTCTGCTTGTTTTATGGCCCCATAGACTCTAGGCAGACAATAGCCTCCCAGGCAAAAAGTGAAGAGGGGTGTGTGGCCAGGCATGCGTGATCCGAATTTTCAAGGTGACCATGAGTAGTCCCTGCCCCATGTGAGCATCACTGTAGTTAAGGGTGGAGAGAATGCAGGTGACAGTGAAAAGGGAGAAAATAAGGTCTATGAAGGGCAGGATCAGTAAAGATCAGGACAAACAACATTTCCCAAATTCCTTCCACAGACCACTGCCATGAGATGCTGAGAACTGTGAAAAAGAGAGGTTCTTCCATGACCAATTTAGAGAACTGTTAGGTTAAACAAGGTTGCACAGGTTTTTTGACTGCAAGACTTTCTAGAACCTATAGAACATTCAATGTATTCTCAATCTCCAACAGGGGGCATTTCACATATAGCATTTTCTACTCATCTGGCCAAAGAATCCTTATTTTTCAGGGTAAAATTGGTGTTCTGTATTTTTCAGGGTAAGATTGGTGCTCTTCAGGAAATTCTAGAAAAGGATCGCGAAGCACAAAATAAGGACAAAGAAGGCAAGGGACAAAACAGTCAGTTAGTGGATTAATAAATTCTAATAACTAGTTTATTCGTCTCGGCCTATTAAAAACGAGATGACTTTCTGGCCATTTAATTCATTAGGAATAGCTTCCCATTATTCTGGAAGTACAATTACAATCATGAAATTATGGGAACATAATTGGTTCATAGACAATAATAAAACCATTTATCACACTAACAGAGACAGCACAGTAAATTTTCAGGCTAAAGTTATTATAGTCTTTTAATCAATGGCAACTACAGATATGAGCTTAGAGCTCCCCCCATGACCCACTGCTCTAGAAGGAAGAGAAAACATAATCTGTTAAGAACTTTCTAGTAGATCTCAAATGGAAAGTTTGCTTTGGGGGTTTAAAGGAAGGGGGGGAAAAAGCAAGCTCTTATGCTCAAAATGTTTCATTTTCCTAACTGTGTTGCCTCCAGGCTTATGAACAAATAAAAACTAATTGAATATTTTCACTTTAGTTGAATACTGCCTTCTGCTAAAACACGCATATAGTTTCTAACATGTCCTCCAAACATATAGAAGTAAATACATTCTCTAGAAGGTCCATAAAATACACACACTAGTTATTTGGAGCTAGGGAACTTGAGTCTCTGTCCAAATTCTTTTGCTTATTGATTGAGTGACTTCAGTCCAACTGGCAGCCAGCTATACTAACCTGGCTGTCCCCAAGTCCCATCAGATTCAACCTGTCTAAAACCGAGTACATTTTTGTCATTATTCTGTTTCCATAAGGCCTAGACTACCCAGGGACACACCAGGAATGGAGGAATCACCCTTTTCCCTCACCACTGACACCAGCCTGACATCCTGCACCTTCAAATGGGGACCAATCTGTCCCTACCTCTCCAATCTCATTGCACTGCGATGGGGAACACTCACTTCTGCATGACTTCCAGCAGCCTCTGGCTTCTCCAGTCCATCTCCACACTCTCGAAGAGTAAACTTTCTAAAATAATAATTTAACCTGATTTGTTTCAAGCAGCTCCCTAGAGCTGTCAGTGTGGAGTTCCAGTTCCTCACTTTGTGTACAAGCCCTGCCAATTTGCCTCCCTCTCAAGCCTATGTTCCTGTCATCTTACACACACACGCACACACGCACATCCCTATACGTCATGCATTTCCCCCAAAGTATCATCTAGATCAGAACTCTGTATTGCAAATATTTCCACTGTCTAAATTCCCTTCCCCCTATTAGAGCACAGCTCCAGGGTCACCTCCTCCAGGAAGCTTTCCCTGACTACTCCACCATCACACTCCACAGAGTTCTTGTAGTGCTTTAGACATATTACTCCTGTAGCATTTATCATAATGTGCTAAAACAGCTTGTTCTTCTACCCCAATCTCAAATTGTCAGACCCTTAAATGCAAGAACTTAGAATTTAAGTACATATTTAGATCTTACTTTGTTCTAAATTAGTTTGAAAGTAGATTACAAGGGAAGAAAAATATACAAGACGTTAAGTAAAAAACAGAAGTTGATGTTTAAAAAAACGAAAAAGCAAAGGTGAAGCTTAAGAAATGAAGGTAATTCAAAAATGCATTCAGCAGTACCCTACACATCTGCAAATAGCTTGCTAGAAATTTAGCTCCAACTTTTTATCAGCCAACTAGAAGCAAGAAACCTAATCAGTTACAGTTAGAGCAGTAAAGCAAGCCAACGGTTAAGAAGCCAGCATTCCTGACATAAGACCAGAAAGAGGTTTCCCCTACAGGTCTTCAGAAGAAAGCGTGAAGTTCCCCACCACATCTTTGGGTGGGCAGGGCAGGCTGCAGCTCCCTTAATGCAGCCATTACATCACCCCCAGGAGAGAATTGTGAAGGGCTCAAGAGGGTGCAGCTTGGGTAGAAAGCTCAGCTGGTCAGCTTAAGCCAGGAATGTGTGCAATGTGGACGGGCCACACAGGCTTCCAACAACTCACCACAAATCTTCCTTCTCCAAGGCGACTTATTAACAAACACGAGGGAGAAGAGTTTAAGATTCTGCTACCTGACAAATACCTGGAATGCAACTACTCTATGTTGCTAATTACAAACAGAATCAAAGGTGCTGACCGGCTTTTAACACTGGAGGCTTAGGGACAAGGATCTCGTTCTATTTTTTCTCCCTAACCTTAGCATCTAACATGGAAGTTCTCAGCCCTATCAGACTGTTGTCTCTTTATACTAACAGATATTTAGTAATGTTCCCTCCACTATCCTGAAATTAAATAGATAACATATCCCTACCCCAAATATGTATAACCCTATCCTCACATACAATTTCAAAAAATAAAAACAATACTCTAAAATATAAAGCAAAAGGAAATTGATAATACGCATTTCAATATATAAAATCTCTGCCCTAACAACCCTAGAAGACATAATGATGTGGTCAGATTCTTGGAACTACTGTATTTTAGAAAATAAAACAAACAAAACAGAATCTATTCTGCACTGGAAATACAGGACTATTCAAGAACAGAGGTAAGAATGCTCCCTAGAGGCCAAACTTGTGTGTGTTACTAGGGCTCACTAACTGATCAGACTTCTTTATGTATGTAAAGAAGAAAGAGCCTGATCTGCAGTAGAGATTGCATGCCCAGATAAACTGCCAAGTTGGAGAAAATGAAAAAGCACTATGTCCCAGCAAATCGGATGGGTGTTACATGCAATTGTGGCATCAACATGATCCCATGTGTGACAACATGAAACAGAGTACTAACAATTTGTTATAAAAATTATACCTCTCATAAGGATTCTCGCCTTGAGTCAATTTTCTACCTTTAGTCTCTGAAGCTCCCTCAGGACTTCGAAACGCTATATAGGACAACCCTGGTTGAGTAGGATTGTATGTACCCTGACTAACAGCCTGCATCTGCATCCCTCACACCTACATGCGAGAGCTGCTCCCCAACCCACACTACCACAGAAACACCATCCTCTGTAAGATCCACTTGCCCAGCACAGAGCAGAGGTTCCACGAAGGTGGAACAAGCTAAAGAACAAGCGAGTGATGAAGAACTGAATGGAATGAACAAACTGAACTTGGGAAAGAGGGGAGTAATCTTTGTGTGTCAGGAGAACACCCTGAAGAACACGAATGTGGGAGGATCAGGGCCTGGCAAAAGGCTCTCGGTAAATGCTAACTGAATAAAAAGCGGAAAAACAGTACACTTTGGGTGATGCTGTCAGAGGACCCAGGGGCTCTGTTGTATTACAAAACCCTGATCTTGCTTCTGATCTCCTTGGTTCCTGCTCTGCTTCACCGTGCACTTGAACCCCCAGCGAGCTAGTTAGTCCTGCTAGTTAGTTCTGGGTTCCCCAAGTGGAAAAAGAAGGAGCATGCATACCTTCTTTGGCTTCTGCAGCGCTGGAGGGCATATCTGGTTTTTCCTCTGGCCTGGCTTCTTGCTCTTCAAGAGTCTAAGAAAGCAAGAAAAAAAAAAAATCACTGAATACCATTTGAGGCTTCAAATATGCAACAAAGAGATGAAAATCACATTCAAGAATCTCAGAGCTGGGACAGGCCAGAGTCATGACCTGGGAGGTAGACAAGATAGGCAGCCCCCAACAGTAACAGTAAGAGATGTGGGGAGCCTAGAGGCATGGGCCAAAACTGTCCCTGAAACTAAACCGCTTCCCCAGGTCACAACCACCAGAAGGTTCTCAGGAACACGATGCATGAATGAGCAAAAGAGTAGACAGAGAACGGACAGTCTTGGAACCAGAAAGCAGTGCCACTGTTTTACTCTGCCCACCTATACCAACCCCCATCCACATGCTAGGACACAGGGATCTTAGAGGCCCAGCGATGGGGTAGGACCACCATCACAGGGAAGACCCAGGATGAGTACAGGCCTTGGGCTGCAAGCTGGCACTGGCTGAGACTGATTTTGTGAGCCTTAGAAAGAAGCTGCCCTCCTCGAACCCTCTGTATTTTCTTTTCAGTGGGATTCCCCACCACCAGTGAAAACGTGAAGAAACATGGAATTGTGTGCTGATGTGTCAAATGGTAAGGCAGCCTAAGACAGCAACGGCTCATCTTCCAAATCAAACACATGAGCAAACTTGGGCAGCCAACCTTACAACTGACACAGACCCCTAAATATACCTGGGCATGTGATGAAAGCTCACTGTACCAAGAACTAAATTCTCAGCATTCTGATTAACAGAAAAAGTTCTCTAATGAGGAAAGAACTAAAACATGATTAAAAGGTATAGCTAAGATTTTTGCCTATTATTTAATTTCCTAATATCTATCTTCACAGCTCGGATATGTAGCATCAACCTGTCATTTTTTAACATTTAATGTTTATTATAAATTATCAATCTACCAGTGTCAGCTATAATAGAATGTGATAACATGAATCCTTTACAACTCTGAATAAGTATGGCTTCTGAATGGGATCACCTGAATGGCTCTTGGATACAGAAAGGCAAACTTTGCAGCAAGATTTTATTGTTGTTGTTCTAGAAGGCTGCAGATAACTGAGCAATGCCCAAACCCTGAAACCGAAGATGCCTCCTTGACAGGACTGAGGATACACTATGGTTCATTGAGAATAAATTAGTCCACGAGGTCAAAGTCATATGTAAAAACAGACTTTTAGACATCTAAGATTTAATAAAGATAAATACATTATTATTATACACAGTCTCACACGTGGTACTTGAAATTGCAAAGCTTTAGTGTGAACAACCCATATCACAATTATCATCTGCTTACATTTAAAATAACATCTAACCAAGTAAGAAATAGACCAAAAAAAAAATTTAATGACTTTGGTCATCCTAAGGAATCTCAGCCCTGTTCCCTTCCAGGTCTCCCCACTCACTACCCAGCCCCATGACTCGGAATAGGAATTAAAAAGAGGAATGCTATTGCATTGCAACAGATTCTTTTATCAATGTTATATCGTAAGTAAATTTTATCAGTGTTTTTCACAAAATGAAAATCTCTAAGTAACTGGAAAGATATTTCCATTTGGTCTTTTTTATTGTAAAGTCCACTACAATAAATACTTAGCAAAAGGAAATTGATAATATGTATTTAGATTTACTCATCTTAAATCTTCCCCAGGGTCATCAGTGTTACCTCAAATGTGTTATCAGAAATTATGAATCCAACCTAAGAAGCTGGAGAGTTTAATAATGAAAAGGAAGTTCAATGGTTCTTGTTATACACAGAGAATGCTCTTATCTTTTTAAGGAGTTCTGTCACCGGAGTTCTGTCACCAGGGGCCATGCTGTGGTCAGAGTGTCCTTTATAAGAACACACATGTCGCTGAGCTCTGCTCCAGTAGAGCTGCTGGGAACAAAGCTCATGCTGAACAATGCTGCTTCTCAAGGCCAAGCCTCTGCCTGCAGGAATATCTGCATCTAGGAGCCTGGGGGAGAAGCCACCGGTATTGCTGAAGGCTTAGTATCTTTAAACAATACTTAAGTATCCTTAAGCAAAATGAGGAAACACTGTATGCCAGAAAATTATACACTAAATTTCCTAAAACCTAACTAGGGAATTTAGTTTATATTCTGAAGAGCGTGTTTCATTTTAATTGTTGAAATAAAACCCTATGTGGAGTAAGCCAACAATAATCTTTATTTTACATGCAGTGTTTTTGGCAAAATCTTAAATTTTATGAAGCAAACATTTTATAAAAACTGCGATATATAATAATAATATCATTTTCCTGAAATATTTATTCTGTAAATTCTATACAGTCATGAAACCTGTGCCTTATTAATGGACGTGCTTGAGTCATGGGAGTTGCAGGATCTGGTGAGCAAAGCCATTATACTCCTGAGTACTGTCAACTAGACTAACTCAAGTTCTTTTACTCAAAATAACATTTTGCTTAATAATAATTAAAAGATATAATTACTTTTATATTCTTCCAGTTTCCACAAAAAAATAAATAAATAAAAATAATAAAGATGAAACATTTTAAACCTTGAGATGAGCATGCTATGATAGCACTCAATGCTGGGGTTTGGACCATGGCAGAAGTGGGGAAAACCTCTTTGAAAAAGAACTGGTTTCAAATGACCAGTCCCCATTCATGAAGAATCTGTACAGTGGGACAAATGCTTCACTACATCTAAGCCATAAGAAGCCTCACAAGTAGATACTATACATGTAAAAGAACCTTAAATGCAACTGCTTTAAATAAGAATTATAATACAATCAATAAATTCATAGAGAATATCCAATATTAGAATATTAAAACCCTACATTGGCAGGGCTGGCTCACGACAAGTAAAGGAAACATGAATACTATGTGAATTACTACCTTCTACTGCCAAAATATTACATAATAATCTTCATTCTACTGATGTAACACAATTTGCAATTCCATGGCCCGCAAGTTTCTGTTAGAAAAACACTGTTCCCAAAACAATGACTGTTGCCTGCACTCCCAAGGAGTGTGTTATTGCATACCAGAAAAACCGGGCACAAACCTTAGTGATAAAGGCTCTATCCCGAAGGTATTTCCTGAAGAGTTTAATATCTGCCTCCAACAAATGCTCGGCTGTGTGGTTAAGCGTCAAGGTCAGCATTTCTGACGAGTGAGTGTACTGCAGGATGGCATCTTCGCCGAGCTGCACACGGGAGAAGCCAGGGGAACGTCTGCCCTGGAAACTGAACCGTCACAAATCAAAACCCAGGTGCAGCTTCAGACACCAACCCCAAGATCCCAGTGACCCTCATATTACAAATCAGACTGGCAGAATGATCCTCAAAAGCCACTACTGACAATAAGTTCAAAAGATGATGTAAATAGAGCCTAATGAAGCCATCTTTCTTCTACTACCTAGAGAAGATGTCAATGGAAAAGTCATGCATGTATATTATATACTTTAAAGATTTATATAAATAGCGAAACAGTACTGACTTTTAAACATAGTACTTTACCCCAGTATTTCATTCTCCTTTCAATATGAAAAGATGCCTCTCTCTTTAATGGGGCCGCATGTAGCAGCAATTAGCTGGCAACCAGCAGTTTATTAGGTGGTTACAGTGGAAAACAGATATGATCTCCAGGGAACATGGTGAGGTTTGGATGTTACAAACAAGTAAGATATTCATAACACACTGGTCCACTGTTGTAAACCATTTTCTCATGCAAATTAGAATATGCATAAATTTGATCGTGTTGTATTCTTGAACACAATCATAAACAAAGGAAGTACATTCCCAAACTAAATTCTTGAATATCAGCTTATTTTCTGTTCTGTTTGGGCTAACAATTGCACATTTATTAGCTATATGTAGGCTTCATGACTCGTATCACAATATTCTGGGTGGCTTATAATAGCAACAGTAAAGGAGCCTCAGGAAAATGCGAATGGCTTCCAGATAACTGCCCAGCTCAGCATGTCATATTCCGACAGATTGCTCCCCGATTCCTCACATCACAGAACTAGCAGTCTGCCTATTTCTTCTTCCAGGACCTCACTTCGCTAGTGAACGTTTGCTTTACAAAAATATAGTGTACTTCCAATCAAATAAATGTCATCTCCATCCCACAGAATGACAAAAAGAGATCCGTGAAGAGTATTTGTACACTAAGATTTGGGGCATCTCCCCAAACTCTGCCAGGGACTCCAGAATCTTCCAGGAGACAATTTCCTATGCTAACGACAAGCCATTGAGTCAAACTAACTCTGAGCCTGAGCAATCAGATCATTGTTATTAATTTAGAAAATGGAAGCTCCATATTAGAATTTAGCTTACAGTCTACTTCCAATACCACCCATGAATGGATTTATTAAATGTGTAAACATTTAAAACACATAAAATCGTCTGGTCTTGGATCCAGTAGAAGGATACAAAGCTACCAAGGATGAAGAAGTCAGCCTCCAGGACCTCGATGCAACACTGAACTACCCACGATGACTAAGTCAAAGGAAGCAGTCCTGCCTTACCCTTTCTAGCCAAGAAAGTGGGGTCATATTAAAGTGAAGGAAAGGGGCCTGTTCATGGGCTCTTCCTTTGGTTGCTGGTCATTTGACCAAATGAGGGGAAAAAAAAAAAAACAGAAAGCTCTGACTTCTACTTCCAATGTCCACTTATACATCATATGTCCATAAATTAATTACATTGCATTCTATGAGCCAAACAAAAAAAAACAGTCCATTAATGCCATAATAATGCTGACAATATTTAATATTTATGTACTTTGTAATTTTCAATGTAATTTCCCACTTATCTATTTTTTTCCCTCATGTTAAGTGAAGAAAATCACTATATATGAGTCCTCCTTTCATTTAAAAATACTGACTCATCTGAACCATTCTAAGTAACAAACGACACATTCATTTTTCATTGCAAGTGTGAATATCATCATAAACAGAAAACTTTACAGTTGACAAATTATTTATTTTACATGATTTCACTAGATCCTGATAACCACCCAAATGGCTACATCGTGTCTTCGGGTTTATCTGTTATTCATTGATTCAACAACAATTTATATTCTTTCAATGAATGTTATGTGCCAAACACTGCAGTGAGTAAAACAAATAGTTTCAGCCCTCAAATGATTTAGGAGACATATATAAAACAGATGATCACTATATATGTAAAATTCTAAGTTATAATTAATATTGTGGATTATTAATTTTAATTACAATTATTGCTGTGAATTAATCATAATCATAAAAGACCATAACATAGAAGGCCTCTCTAAAGAAGTGACACTTAAGCTGAAGCCTGAAAGATAAGTAGGGGTTAGGCATTTGCTTTTTTTAATTATACGTCCCTATAGAGCCTTTTGAGACTTTTTCCCCAACTCCTTCTCCCTCATGAAGTCTGAATACCAAATATATCTGTTGATCTGTTTATGTCCTACACGTATATCTGTATTTTACACATAAGAATTAATGGTAAAATATAAACCAACATTAGCTTTTGGTTTCATTTTAATTTTTTCATAATGTCTGGCAGACTTTATAGAAACAGATTAAGAGAGAAACTATCAGGTAACCACTCACTTTGTGATGTCTTCAACTAGCTTGGAGTGTCCACTGTGCAAAGCTAAGTCTAATGGTGTGGCACCCTCTTCATTGGGTAAAGCCAAGGCCTGGACACCCCCAGGGAGGCACACGAGGAAATGGGAAAGCTTAGGCAAGCCCCATCTCACAGCCAGGTGTAGGAGAGACTCTCTGGGAAGAATAACTGAAAAGAAAGACAAACATATATCAGTCCCTCTGTTTACAAAATTTGTCTCATGCATTTTACCAGAGACCATGTATTTAGACATAATAAGAATGACGGAGCTGAAAGGAACCATCATAACTATCTAATTCAAGCACTTCATTTAATAGATGTGGAGAGGTCAGTGATTTGTCCAAAGTCAGGTAGCCAGTAGGTGCTGGAGTCAGGTCTGCTCACCCCTGGTACAATTATGGTACCCATTCGTTCACATTCACTCACTTGCAGTAAGGTAGGTCATCGGGAAGAACAAATGCTAGGAACAGAGCATCCTTGGGAAACAGACACTGTCAATTTCCAAGGTGTCCTTGGAGATGGTGCTACTCCAGCAGGACAGTCTCAGAGGCCAATGCTGTAAAGAAGCCTCATTTTCCACACTTAGTCCTCAGAGTTGCTCTCCCCTAATGAGAAACTGGGACAGAAATGGGCTTCACATGTCCAGAAAATGAGAGATCATGGTCCTTCTCAAACTTCATGGTGGTGCTTTCATCCATCTACTAGATCCCAGGAATTATGTCAGCATTGCCAAAGCCACCCCAGTGCTTTCCCTAAAAGTTCAGCCTTTTCCTTGTCACGCACCCCTTGACATGCAGTTTAAGTCCTAAAACCAATTTTTAACGATTATACCATGATCCCTACCCAATTCTAATCAAGCCCCCGTCCTCTGTATGAAAAGACCCTCATTATACCAAACTTAAATTCTGACTAAATTCTACTCTTGCCTCCCCATTTGAGACACTGCTAAGGATCTATGGAGGTGGAGTTCTCCCTTACCAAAGCAGGCAATAAACTCAGCTTTGTCACACCAGCAGGTGGTCGTGATGCTATTTGAGGAGCCAGCATCCAACAAAGCCCTGGTTTAAAACAACCAGGAAATATTCCACTGCTCATGGATGCAAAAGAAAACTGCTTACATTTTTAATTACTTTATACTACGATTTCTATATCTAGATCAATGAACAAAAGGCCTTATATTTTAAGTATGTACATGAGCTTTCCCAGTGAAATGACACTGACTTCACCATGCATTTGCTCCGTCATCTGTGTGACACAACACAGACTCCCCTTGCCCCGTAAGATGATATATGAAATGCCCAAACATCTAAAAACAGACAAGGCGGAGTACCCCCACCAGACATTTGTTTAATATACTTGATATCTTCAAAAAGAGCTATGTTGGCTATTATAGAACTTATCCTTAACTAGTTTATCCTTTAAGTTTTTGGTCTTTAAAATTGTTTTATTAGAAAGCAGGGTTTTATTCTTCACAGATTCATGTGTATATCATTTCAATTTATTTCCTTCTTAAATAATAATCAGGAAGAGAGTTGTTAGGATCAGGTAACAGAACAAACACAAGTGTGTACATTCCCCAACACACCTGTCAGCGTGCAACTGTAACCAGCCACACCAGGATGGAATTTCTAAGTCACAGGTCCCAATCTGAATCTGGTGAGAATCTGTCCCATGGTTATACAGGACACAATTTTCTTCTAAGAAAAATATGACCAAAAAGAGCACCTGCACTTTTTGCATTCCCTTTTAGAATAATACCATTGATAAAGGTAAGTATGGTGTCAATCATTTAAACGGTACTCCCTACAAAGCATGTGGCAATCCCCTAAATACCCTCAAAACTGGGGTGAGGTTCACGGTATTCAGCCTGACCCACAGTGGGAATATGGGGAGAAGTAGTTTCCTCCACCGAGAGAGCTTTCCAGCCCGTTCTTCTAGCCCAGCTCCCTCTTCTCTTCTTTCTGGCTCCATCTCGTTCCATGGGAGAGAACAATAAACACATGGGACAGAATCCCACTCTCCCCCCCCCTTGCCTGCATCCCTCTCCCCTTCCAGAATTGACCCACTTCCTTGGGGAGATGGGGAGGCAGGGGAAAAGAGGTCTTCTAATGTTTGAAGAAAACAAATAAAAAGCTAACCAAAACGTTTTGAGAGCTTTCTCATTCGGTATAAAAGTTCAAGGCGCAGAATCAGGCAAACAGCTTGAAAGAGGAAACATCATGACATATATAAATTATTCTGTTTGTTATAGAGTTTCAGATTCTTAACAGCGGTCAGGAAAACAAGCTTTGGAAAGGTTATACAATTTGGCAGAGGTGGAGGTGTTTAATTAAAATGAAATCTTTTTTCCCCCCCAAATAAATAGGTTTCTTCCTGTTCAGTTGGTGCCAGATGTTATTTGAACCAATGTAACTACAACAGAATTACTAAGAATTGTTCTAATGGCAAACATTAAAAGGTATGACCTGTAACATCCTGGGAGCAGATCACCCAGACACAAAAAGGAACTGAGCAGGCTGTGCCATTCAATCAGCATTCTCTTCACAGTATAAAAAGAGGTTCATCTGCCACAGACGGGTAAGGAGACTCAAAGTCCATGCACCTCGCTTGCCACACCTCAGTGTCTCTGCCTAGAAAACGAGGCAGCTGCATCAAAGACCCAAGGTCCTAAAAGTGTTCATTCCTTACTCAGGATTTTTGGGGATCAAGGATAGATGAAATACAACACGTACCAAGACACCTTCCAGAGTATCTGAAACAAAAGTGTAGGGTTGGCCGGATGGTTTGGTTATTACCAAAGGAAAGTGATTTTATGAATTGCTCAGTCCAAATTTGGGATCATTATCATACCTATACGATGTCTGACTATGCCTTTCAATTAGCAATAAATTCGGGTTCGAAGACTGAAAAATAAGTTACCAAGCCCTCAGGAACTCGCATTTGCTATTAGGGAAAATGCAAATTAGAACAGCCACAGTGGTATCATCTAATAAATTTTAAGAAACTAATGTCTCGTGACTGAACAATTCCACTCCTACATTTAAAATCTAGTGAGGACTATGCTTTTTATGCACCAGAAAACACTCACAAAAATGCAAAATGGTCAAAAATAGAAGTTATCTTACTGTCTATCAACAAAAGAATAAATTGCAGTATAATCATATGCTAGTATTTTAACAGCAATAAAAATGAATTACAGGCTCACATAGAAGAAACTAAGAAATACAATGTTGAGGGATAAAAGTCACAAGAGAATGCACAGACTACATTTCAATTAATAAGAAGTTTTTAAAAAGTGAACAGTAAAACATATTATTTAGGGGTAGAGAGTAAACTATAAAGAAAAGCAAGGAAATGGTTACTACAGGAGTCAGCATAGCACCTCTGAGGGGAAAGAAGGGAATGTGACTGGGGAGGATGAGGGATGTTGGCACTTTTGGAGTTCAAAGGTATCTGTATGTCTCTTCCCCTCTACTTTTTCCCCACCCCCCAAACACACAGTTGTGCTCAAGGTCCTCTCCAGAATAATTAAAATCATTTCTGAAGTGAGATCCAAGCATTAATCCTTTCTGAAGATTCCCAAGTGATTCTTATGCAAAGTGAGGGTTGGGATCTCCTACCTTAAATAAAAAAGTGGTGTAACAAAATACATATCTATGCCTCCTTTTCATATTACTGTCTTCCCAACCGCCTCTTAAGATCTATGAGGTAAAAAGTTTCACCAATGAATAAGAGCAAAAATAAAATGTTTGTGATTCTTGCAAGTTATTTTTAATCCACATTATTTACTGCTAAGCCAGGATATATAACCTTAAACGTTGAGGAAAATATTAAAGCTAAAATGTAACAGAGACAATGATCTAGAAGCAAATGATATTTTTAAACACAAATTAATTCAGAAACAGGTATACTTTGTACAGTTTAATAATGTTTCATAACTCCTGAGTGGAGCCACTGAAATCTATTCAACACTGTAAGTTTATGAAGAGCAATTTTTTTTTAATTCACCTAAATCCGATTCATTAATATAAGTTCTACTCTGGTTTCAAAGCCACACATAGATATTTCATGGAGGTCTCAGTTTGTTTATTTAAGTCATTCAGTAGACAAACATTGAATGAAACCACTACTATATGTCAGGCCCTGTGGATAGAGAGATAGGTCCTGTCCTTGTCTTTGGGAATCATACAGCCAGCATACAGAATGAAATAAACATCTGGCCCATGAAATCACTCTGATGAACTACAGCTCTAGGCTTAGCCATAGAGTGTGAATAGAGATAAAGAAACCATCTGATGTACAAGAAAACAGCTCTTCAGGTATCATCGTGAAAATTTACAGATGTTTATTAAATGCCAAAAAATGACGAACAAAGAGAAAATGAAAAAAAAACCTGTTACTAAAAATACGTATGGAGAGTAGAAGAGAGACTCTGGCATAAGCATCACACACAATCTCTGACATTTTTTCAGGACTCTCAATGAAAATAGAAAGAGAGATCATGTCTTACAACATACTCTATTTAAATTGTCTAATGAGGGCTTTGGTGTGTATATAAACAAATCACACTTCCACACAGAATATCAAATGCTGATGAGTCCAAGATAGGAACTGCAAATATAAATACGCTCATAGGAAAGATATAGAAACAGAACATCCCATGAAGCACAACCCAACATGACAGGCATGGCTGGATCATAAAGCCAAAAAGTAGAAGTAAAACAAGCATAATGGCATATGTTATCTTTTCTGCATTGGACACATTTGAGACACTCAGATTACAGCCACTCCTGATTGAAATAATCTAGGAAAACACCAATCACACACGATTATTCCAGAAAATTTGCCTTGTAATGTACAATACTGGAATGCACTTTATGGATTTTGCTTCTCATACAGGTTGGTTATATTTTATTTTACCTCATGGAACTAGTACTAAACCAACTGAAACACTAAAAAGTCTTATCAGGACTTAAAGATGGCAATCTAATTGTTGGTCTTCATAATCTTGGAACTGAATTATACAACATAGGCATTGATACGAGATATGAAGGATCCGGACACAACACTATAGCACAGAGGGGGAAAGACTAAAGGGGCGAAATGTCTGGGTTTGAACACTTACAAAGATGTAGCTTTGGGAAGACCACTTAATTCTCAAGTTTTAA